GTGTACTGTATGGATGTATTTAAGTGTATGAATGTATTTATTTGTATGAATGTTGTGTTTGAACGGGTATTGAATATAGACTTAGTGGGGGGCTGAAATGACCTAGATGTCGGAAGCCCCAGCAAAAAAATAAAAAATAAAAAATAAAAATAAAAAAATAACTCAAACAAAAAACCCGCATGTGAAGACAGACCTAGCAGTGCCCGTGTAGTTCAACATGACTAACTATTGGCTATTTTATTACTCGATGAACTATATTTGGATCAAATTTGGGTAGTCTTATTAAAGGCCCTATATTGAATAAATGAACTGATTTCTGTTTAGTTATTTTTAAGAGTTTGCATGATATATTGAAGCATAAATTTAGGATTTTTTCCAAAAAAAGCTTTTAGAAAATGTTTGATTATAACGCATATTCTTTGATTAGATTGTAACTAAATTCAATTCAGAACTCCATAATTACTAGACAATTGAAGTTTCATAGGTTTTATCGTGTTGTTTTGTGAAATTTGTTAGATACGTTAAAATATCGTGTTAGAACAGCGGCGTATTAGCCGAAGGTCGTGAGTTCGAATCCCGCACGTACGGGACTTTTTTTCAACTTCGAAACTTTTTCATTTCAACCAAAACATTACTTAAAAATATTAATTAATTGAATGAAGGAATTTGGTCAATAGATCACTAAATATAATGGATATTAAAATGTTCATTTTATATTGTTATGAAATTAAAGCGAAGTAAATCTCAAAATAATTGCCTTTTCTTTGGAAACTTTGATCAAATTTGTTTCACCTATACAGAACATTGTATGTAACGAAGAAATTAGTTTTTTCTCGTTTTTTTTTCGTGTGATATTTTAAACTTTTCATATGAGATTATTCGTGCACATAGAAAAATTTATCTCATCAGATTTTTACCAAATTTGGTACGAGTACGTTGGAAAATGTTAATAATAATTAAATAATAAAAGAACTAAATTTAATATTATATCTTGTGAAGTTTGCTGGATTACCACGACACCTTGAGTTCACATCAACCTAATTCTCCTCAATTCTTCTACATCTCCCTTTTAAAGGTTTTACACCCAAAAGTTGTATAAAGTCTATAATTAAATTCAATAATGGTAGTACTTAACAATTTTACGTTTGCTCATTTACACTATAAGAAAACGCAGGGACAAAATATTTTAGCGTCATTTTATGTACCGTTGAGGGTAAAGCTTTTATCATGTATTGCCTGCATAACTGCCGCCCAAACAGGAAAGCTAATAAAAGTAAGCGATAAAAAAAGGTCTCTTTTTAGGTAGGGCAGGAAAGGAAACAGAGGTGGAATTGCAAAAAGGTTGAGTAGGTCGGACATTCCACCCCCGAAGCACATCCACCTCTCGTAATTCTTCTACCATCGACAACTTTCCCAGTGTTAAGGCCGAGTGAAAAACAAAAACATTCCCTTCCAAATGGCAAATAGCAGTTTTACCAAGCCCTCGAGCCGTTTATAATAATCATCTAATATCGGATTCGTTGAAAACTGTTTAAAAGACCCGTTGTAACACTTTTTCGGAATCCAGGCTCTGTAATTCATTACCAAAAGGCAGTTAATTGCGACTTTTTTGACAGGGGATATTTCTCGGTGAAAAAGGGAAGGAATTGCATCAATTTCCATAACATTAACGGCCGCCCTAAATCAAAGTCCCACTATAAAAATTAAAAGAGAAAAAAAAGTCGATCAGAGGCTAATATTTGATTTCTTGCTGACACTTCGTATAAAAAGAACCAAACGAGTCTGGCAAACTAGTCCGGCGGCCTCTCGGCTTCATCTGCACAGGCTTTCGATGTAAATAAAAAATAATTGCGATCTTCAACTCGAAGCACGTGTTCCCATTTTGCAGTTTCTAATACTGCGAGCAATTATCTCGCACAAATGGTAAAACTCCATATCAAGTTATCAAAATTTATCAACCTGTCGGGATAATAATAACAATTTTTTTTTTAATTTTCCCTTCCTATTTGCCATTTTTCAAAAAAAAAAGTGAGGTTGAGATGGGAAGTAGTGTCCTAGTGGATCGAAGTCACGATAGCTCAAGTGGTTAAAGCAGCGGCGTATTTAGCCGAAGGTTGTGGGTTCGAATCCCGCTCGTGGCACTGACTTTTTTATCTCAACCTCTACCTTAAATACAGATTAATTAATTGAAAAATAATAATAATAATAATCCATTATATTTAGTGGTCTATTGACCAAATTATTTCTTTCAATTAATTAATTTTTATGTAAGGTTTTGGTTGAAATGAAAAAGTTACTGCCACGAGCGGGATTCGAAGGTCGTGGGTTCGAATCCCGCTCGTGACGCTGACTTTTTTATCTCAACCACTACCTTAAATACAGATTAATTAATTGAAAAATAATAATAATAATAATCCATTATATTTAGTGGTCTATTGACCAAATTATTTCTTTCAATTAATTAATTTTTATGTAAGGCTTTGGTTGAAATGAAAAAGTTACTCCCACGAGCGGAATTCGAACCTACGACCTTCGGCTAAAAGGAAGGAAAGATTCGAAAGGTTGTGGGTTGAGATGGGAATTTGGTGTCCGGGTTGATCGAAGTTACCATACCTCAAGTGTTCAGAGCAGCGGAGTATTTAGTCGAAGGTCGTGGGTTCGAATCTCGCTCGTGACACTGACTTTTTTATCTCAACCACTACCTTAAATACAGATTTAATTGAAAGAATAATCATAATAATATGAGAAGTTTGATTGAGTTTTAAACTGCAGCCATTTCAACTTGTTTTATTACTGACTCTCTGTTTTTATACGTATACTATGTCGATATCTTAAAATGCTTACCTTACATTTGTACCTCAGGTTGTCAACAACATAATAGACATGAGACATACAATACATATACAGGGTGTTACAGGGTTAAATTTCACTACTAGTCAAACGTCATACTTTTAATGAAAACATTTATTCGTTGGTGACAAAAATCAGATACGTTCTTCTCGTGGCATGGACAACCAGAGGAGCCCTGATTTCACCCAAATAGATTTTTACATAAGGGGGAACTCTGAAAAGTGCAGTGGTACCGCACACCCATCGAAACGAGGGGACGGCCATAGAGAAAATTGAAATCACGTGCAATGACGTGAGGTAAGAAGGGAAGAATGCAGTCACGTGGGCTGGTTGCTCTATGTTGCATGTGTATCCAATACGATGGAAAGCATTTCGAACAATACAAATTTCCTAAAAATGCATAATTAAATGAAGTTTCATTTTCATTGTAGTTTTCTTTAATTATGTACACTTTATCAAAAGAATAGATCTGATTTTTGTTGCCAACTAAAAATATGACATGTACGATGTTTTGGGCTCGATATCACGTTTTTCAACCTTAGAAAGGAGATTTCACTAAACTACAAAAAATGTAAGAGTGAGTATGCCCTTGGAGTATTTTCAAAATAAGGCAACTTTGGCGAAATCTCCGAAAATTTTGATGAAAAAGTCATTGTACGGGCCACAATTGAGTACGTCCAAAAAAACATGGGTTTTACCATTTGTTATCCTTTGACAGCTAGGTATTCGGAAGCGCGAATTTTCCAATGGAAATGTACTTATCTTGTGGAAAATTTAGTATAGTTTGCTAAATAAAGGCCAAATTTGTATTTTAATAAAGCTTAAGTTGACAAATTACGATGTTATGTACAAAAAATCTGATTTTAGACTAAAATTACAAAAATGTTCTCAAGAAAGAGTCAAGATAGAAATCTTGTTCTGGAGGCACAAAACTACGTTTTAGTTAATGAATCCAACATGGCAGTATTGACATTTATCCCTGTAACACCCTGTATATACCTCACTACAAACATAGAGGTTGGGTTTATGTTAATTTGTAGGAATGAATGTAATTTATTAGCGTGAAAGGAAGAGGTTGCTTAACCACTACCCGAGGAATATCGACTGGGGGTATGAAAGTGACCAGATTTTTGTATTTGCATCGGCGTTGTGTTTATGTTAATTTGTTAGAATGAATGTAATTTATTACCTGCATATTAAATCAATATAATTGTTTATTTTGCAAAATTAAACCAGGCTTATTAGAACTAATAAGCCATAAGATTTTCAGATATTTGCTGCAATCTTTCAAATAGGTTCGCGTCGAGGAATATCAAGTGGGATGGGTGTGTGACGTTTGGAGAGTAAAAGTAAATATTAGCGAGAATGGAGCAGGTTCGTCCCTGCCCCAAAGAAATATCGATTACTTTGGGTGGGTAAATGTGACCTGATTCCTATGTTTGTATCGGCTGTTGTATTTATATTAATTTGTTAGTGTGAATGTAATTTATTAGCGTGAAAGGAGCAGGTTGCTTAATCCCGTCTCGAAGAATATCGAGTACTCTTGGGGTGTGAATGTGACCAGATTTTAGTATTTGCATCAGGGTTGTGTTTATGTTAATTGATTGGAATGAATGTAATTTATTAGCGTGAAAGGAAGAGGTTGCTTAACCACTACCCGAGGAATATCGACTACTCTGGGGTGTGAATAATATGAATATAGGTGAATAATAACCTGCTCCTTTCACGCTAATAAATTACACTCACTCTAACAAATTAACATAAATACAACAGCCGATACAAACATAGGAATCAGGTCACATTTACTCACCCAAAGTAATCGATATTTCCTTGGGGCAGGGACGAATACTCCATTCTCGCTAATACTTACTTTTATTATCCAAACGTCCACCTAAGAGTATTTGATATTCCTCGACGCGAACCCATTTGAAAGATTGCAGAAAATATCTGAAAATCTTATGGCTTAATAGTTCTAATAAGCCTATTTTAGTTTTGCAAAATAAACAATTATATTGATTTAATTTGCAGGTTTTATGAGGGGGTGTTATGGTTCCTAGTGAACTTTCACGATCATAGTTAAGTTGTTGAGCTCTTGTACAAACTGTTCATTACAATTGTATATTTTATTAATATTTTAATCTTTTTTTCAGATTACGATTATGGATTGGGTCATCAGGGATAACTATACGAATCCAGAGCTGAACGCGACGAGCACTTCGGAAGAAATCAACTCGTTCTACTTCTATCAGGTAAGGAAGCGCAAACTGGTCTCTCGAAATTGTTAATTGGCCTAAAATTAATGTAATTAATGTACGGTCGACCTTCGGGCGTTGGATTTGCATAAGTCGCCGGTCGCCGTTTTTGCGGAGATTTTCGCATTTCTTCCGTCCTGGCCGGAGGCGACAAATCATCTTTTTCCGACCCTTGGCCGTTCATCACTCCTCAAGTAATTGGGATTGAATTTTTAATAGCCGTGTCTCGCCGTTATCGCTCTGTGTTTTCGGTCATATTTTATTCATGTTTACCAAACTCTGCCATGGTGTTTTACTCATTTTTCCCCTCTTTGTTTTTTTATTATCCCAGACCAGACGCTGAGTATTTAAATAAAATGACTCAAAAACAACTCCCAAGTACGCACTTACTTACATTCGACCAAATCCCAGGAAATCGTTTATATTATGATCTATATTTACGCAAATAACAATCGTTTATAAAAAAAAATTATAATAGAAAAAATAAAAATGCTATGAGTGCAAAAAATATTCATATATTCACTCCCGGTTCTATTTTATGTCATTTCTCAATTATTTCGTTACCCAGCCTTTAAATTTGAATAAATTAGTCCAATTTTTCAAGGATTAAAGAAGTTTTATTCAAAATTTGATATCATGTTATTTTAGTAGTTCGTAGATCACTTTTGTTCAGTGGATAAAGTAAGGGACTTCAAATTTCCCCTTGCTCCATACATTTCTTTTTTTCTCCCGTGAACCACTTTATTAATTGGTTGTAAAAGAGTTTTAATTAATTAAACTAATTTAATTGTGTAATAGATAGTTAAAAAATGGAGACATCTTGAAGTGTTGTGTTTGACGTGACGACTTGTGTTTTATATTTTCATCTTATCAACAAATACTATTTCTTAACTTATTAAATACATTTTTTATAGTCTTTGTGTCATTCTCGAGGCGGTATTTGTCAGAGACATTTATAATATATAAAAATATCAAAACTCAAGAAAAAAAAGTGCTGCACATAACGAAAAGTGTTCTTTTCTAGGCAACAATCGTAAGAAAGAAGGAAAAATACTCTGAGTTATATAGATATTGAAAACCGATATTTGTTAAGATCGATTTTTCTGTCAAGAGGAACAGCAAAAAATCATAGGTCTTTTGGTTTGCAAAACTTTATGACGGACAAAAAAAAACCACTGAGATATAGCATAAAAACTGTTTATTGTTTAAATAAAGAAAAACTCGTCTACAAATATGCCAGGATATGACGAACAATCTTCTTTTCTATGCAGGAACTCGAAGAAAAAATATTCTGAGCGATCTAGATTTTATTGCAAACACATAATTGTGAAGAACACCTTTTTTTGTCGTACTCTAATTAAATAATGAAGACCTGCGAATAACATACAATGAACGTTTTGTACTCATGACTCAAGAGGGGCAGCAAAAAAGTTTGGCGTAAATCTTTTGGCTTGCGAAACTTGATGATGAACAGAAAAACACGAGGAAAGTCTGTTTATTGTTTAAATAAAAATATGCCAGGATATAACGAAAATGTTCTTTTCTATGCAAGAACACGAAGAAAAAAATACTCTGTGCTATCTAGATTTTATTGAAAACAGACAATTTTGAAAAACACGTTTTTCTGTGTTTTTCTAATTTAATAAGAAAAGCCTGCAAATAACATACAATGCACTTTTTGTGCTTATAACTCAAGAGGAACAGCAAAAAGGTTTGACGTAAGTCTAATGATTTGCGAAACTTCATGACGAACAAAAAAGCACGCAGAAAGTCTGTATTTTGTGGTATTCTAATTAAATAATGAAGACCTGCAAATAACACACAATGAACTTTTTGTGCTCATAACTCAACTGGAACATCAAAAACATTTGATGCAAATCTTTTGGTTTCTGAAACTGACGAACAAAAAAACATATATATAGCGGGCAATATGTTTATTTTCTGAAGGAAATAAAATAAAAGGTACAATAATATGCTTAAAATGGGAGACTTAAGACTGTTCCTTGCGCCACGCCTGCCCATTCCCCTCTTTGGAGCAGCCTATCTAATTTATAATTTTTTATTATATAACACGTATTTTTTATACTTATTCCCTTTTTATATTGATAATTTGTGTGTTTTGTAAATAAATCTTTGTTTTATTTTTACATTAAATTTGTTGGATGTTTCGGGAATTCACATCATCATCAGCTCTACAATATCCTTTTTTTAATTGACCATGTTCTTATAGCAGCTATTTCAAATATATGACTAAGAGTCTACCTAGTTTATTATTGCCAAGAATTGAATGTTTTGTTTTTTATATCGGTTTTTTTTATTTAGATATTTATTTTTGAGTTTATATAACCAAACATTCTTGAATTTTTGTCCTGTTATTGGCTGGAATCAAAATCACTTCTGTTGTAAAGTGAGGGGCTTGGGACTTCCCCTTGTGTACCTACCTTTTCTCCTATTGAACTGTAAGCATTATTGGCTTATTATTCGCTTGGATTAAGATAGATTATTTCAAAGGTGCCTATCCTAGACTAACTTGTCCCTAACCCCAACCCTTGCTCTGACCTAACTCTTGTACACTCCTCGGTAAAGCAAAACCCTAGAAACATGATCATCTAAAAAAAAAAACCCTGTTTATGTCCCCAAATCACGTCCATGTTAAATAAAATACTATTGGATATAGCAAAAACATAAGAAACACATCAAAACTGGCAATATATTCTCTCAACCAAAACCCTACTAGAAAAGCGTTCTTTAATAATTAATTTTAAAAAGTCATAAAAGGTATTTTATACATGTGTTATTGTGTAACTCTGATGCAAACTTATTTACCCGGAAATGTGTATTTTATGTGAAACCGGAATCATAGCCCAAGCCGAGAATCGTTAAAATTTCTAATAATTTCTATTTTATGCATGCAATTCCGATTGTGTTATATTTTCCCCGCCGGTTTATTGTTTTAGATCCGGTTTACAGTCTCGGTAGCCCCGTTCGCCTAATTGTACCAATTTGCCACCGTGCCATTTAAATAATTGCTCCCTAAAGTGATTGGCAAGTGGGGCGAAGTTTCAAAGGGAACTAAGGGCCGAAACCTGCAGGAACAATGTTGTTCTTCGCGTTACAATTAAAAGGAGATTCTAATAGAATTCCGTCTTGAATTTGAACAAATAACAAACTGTTGGACCGATTTATCGTCAGATTTTCTCCACTTTGAATAATTTAAGAATCTCTATGATCTACCATTCTGCCCCTGTAGGAAAAGATCAAATATCAATCAATTTCTTAGAAATGTCTCATACAAATGAAAGATTTATTTTAAAAACACGACTTAAACAACTTTTTAATTTTCAATCCTATTTTCTGTCCTACTGTAACGATTATGTGCTGCTCACTTTCACAGACCCTGCCAAGTGGTCCTAGATAAAGAGACCTTTGGAAGAAAGGTAGTTCCATGTTTCAGGAAGAGCCCTAATATGGCAGTCAGTAGGAAATAAAATGGTACAGTGAGTAGGGGTATGTGTAAAAGGCCGAACTATACCCTAGCAAAGCCTCTTGGACTAATCACAACAATTTTCCAAGTTGAGGTCTATGCAATACAACTCTGTGCACTGGGTTAATACAGCAAAATATGAAAGTGCTTACAAAGGTGATTTACCCATTCTCAGACAGTCAGGCAGCTAAATGTGTATGCTTTCAACTCCAAACTTGTCTGAATGCCTAAATTGCCCAATGGCTCTGCATAACGCAACAAGATTACCTTAAAATGGCTTCCGAGACAGGAAGGTATAGAAGGAAATGAACAGGCGAACCAACTAGTAAGAAAAAAAGCGCCAGCCCAATCACCCATGGACCAGAACGACAACTAGGTGTCGGAGTGTGTGCTTAAGTTAAACTGGAAAAATGGTTTATGAATGAAAACCCATGCACTGGAATGAAGGAGCTTTATAAATCTCTCAAAGGAAGGCGAAGGATCAGGTCTCTCTCGCACGCACNATATATACACGAAGAAATTTTACATTTAAACCGGCGTCCAGGGCAAAACAGCGTCCGTATATGTACGCCAATTCGCCGGGCCATTGTTTTCAGCTCATCATCAGTGCAACATACGTACCAATTTTCGACTTCCAGATTCGACGTTCGTGGACGCCCAGATCGCATTTTGTGCAAATATTTGAATATTAATAGTTCACGCAAATTCAGGCTAAACGCCACCGTCGTTTTCGTTTATTTTAAAGAATGTTTTAGTCTTACACTTCACAGTGGGTTCGGCGTCCGATTTGACTACGGCGTATATTTTAATCGTTCACGCTTCGGTGGATTTAGCGTCCGATTTTACTACACTAACTTCTTCTAGCGATTTTCCTTGTTTCGGAACGTCGCCTGCCGGTAGTTTTCTGGGAATTAGTTATATTTTTGTCCCAGAAGAATAGAAAAATCAAAGAATCCTGCCCGAGGATATTCATACCATCACCTGACAAAACGGAAGCAAATATAATGCAATTCGATTCAAGATGTTACATTTTAATGCCATCACGTCATTTCCCCCTCAATTCTCCACCGTTTTAGCTCCCCATTTAGGCATTTCTCCATCTTACATAAAATGATAAAACAACAAAGCTGTTGTCGTGAGGAAACAAAATAGATCAAAAGTAGAATGAAATCCTTGTTTATTGCACTTTTATTTGCCTCGTTTTCAAAATTGTATACAACTAACAAAAAGAGATAATTAAAGTAAACATCCCTTAGTTTTCATATTGGGTGGTTCAGAACATTGCCCGAGTTTCGTGATTTTTCCGCTTACATCTAAAAAACGGCTCGGTCGATTTTTACCATTCCAACGTTTTACAAGTCCTTTTAGGGCCTACTACCGCTTTTATCTTCTGGACAATAGAAAATGTTACATTTTAAAAGATATTTTACTCTTTTTCGGCCTAGTTTTCGTATTAGGAGTTACTTATTATCCTCTTAACTACCACATAAAAGAAGGGCAAAGCAGACACAGA